GAGCGGGATATACTGGTACATGTTTTCATTCAGATCTCCTAGATGTGATATCCTGTTCTCACAGATTATTTCCTCCTAGTTCTGAGGAAACTAATAAAACGCTAAGCCATGTTTTTCTCTTCTGTAAACATTTGTCCTCATCTCTACAATGGCTTTCTTAAAGTCCATTGATCATTATCTAGGAATAATATTAAGGACAGGATGATGTTAATGTCCTGCATTAGCAATGGACCCATGAAGACTGTCAAAATTTGCTAGCTCCCAGTGGCCTATTCCTCTGATGCCTGGCTACTTTTATAGTTCCTGTTGCCTCTTCTTCCTGGCATAAACTCGCAACAGGAATCTAGCTTCTATCCTGATAGAAAAGGGAAATTGTCAGCCAAAATGTAGCCAAATTTTAATTGAAAGTAGTGGGGACATTGACTAAAACATATGTAATGAAAACTCTAGGGCAGCGGTTCTCAACCTGGGGGTCGCGACCCCCCGGGGGGTCGTTTGGCCATTTTCTGGGGGTCGCCAAGCCGCATTGGCTAGCCACGCCCCCTCCAAAATGGCGGCCGACCCACAAGTCAATTGTACTGATAGGCTGCTCCTCCTGATCTTCCCAGAGATCTGTGGATAGTCAGGAGGAGAAACTTTGGATGAAGAAGACTAACCATTTGGATGAAGAAGACTCACCTCTGTTCCGGGCTAAAGGGTGAATAAACGTCGATCCGCCCAAGATGGAGGCGAGGGGCGGGCGGGAGACTCCGGTGGCGCTAGGTCACAGGCAGAGCCTCCCGCCCGCCTCCCGTCTCCTTCAGCTGGAAGATGGAGGCGAGGAGCGGGTGGATGGCTCTGCCTGCGGCCTAGTCGCCACCGGAGCATCCCGCCCGCCTCCCGTCTCCTTCTGCAGCTTGAAGATGGAGGCGAGGGGCGGGCGGGAGGCTCCGGTGGCGCTAGGCCGCAGGCAGAGCCATCCACCCGCTCCTCGCCTCCATCTTCCAGCTGAAGGAGACGGGAGGCGGGCGGGGGGCTCTGCCTGCGGCCTAGCGCCACCGGAGCCTCCCGCCCGCCTCCCGTCTCCTTCTGCAACTTGAAGATGGAGGTGAAGGGCGGGCGGGAGGCTCCGGTGGCGCTAGGCCGCAGGCAGAGCCTCCCGCCCGCCTCCCGTCTCCTTCAGCTGGAACATGGAGGCGAGGAGCGGGCGGGAGGCTCTGCCTGCGGCCTAGTCGCCACCGGAGCATCCCGCCCACCTCCCGTCTCCTTCTGCAGCTTGGAGATGGAGGCGAGGGGCGGGCGGGAGGCTCCGGTGGCGCTAGGCCGCAGGCAGAGCCATCCACCCGCTCCTCGCCTCCATCTTCCAGCTGAAGGAGACGGGAGGCGGGCGGGAGGCTCTGCCTGCGGCCTAGCGCCACCGGAGCCTCCCGCCCGCCCTTCACCTCCATCTTCAAGCTGCAGAAGGAGGCGGGAGGCGGGCGGGAGGCTCCGGTGGCGCTAGGCCGCAGGCAGAGCCTCCCGCCCGCCTCCCGTCTCCTTCAGCTGGAAGATGGAGGCGAGGAGCGGGCGGGTGGCTCTGCCTGCGGCCTAGTCGCCCCCGGAGCATCCCGCCCGCCTCCCGTCTCCTTCTGCAGCTTGAAGATGGAGGCGAGGGGCGGGCGGGAGGCTCCGGTGGCGCTAGGCCGCAGGCAGAGCCATCCACCCGCTCCTCGCCTCCATCTTCCAGCTGAAGGAGACGGGAGGCGGGCGGGAGGCTCTGCCTGCGGCCTAGCGCCACCGGAGCCTCCCGCCCGCCTCCCGTCTCCTTCTGCAACTTGAAGATGGAGGTGAAGGGCGGGCGGGAGGCTCCGGTGGCGCTAGGCCGCAGGCAGAGCCTCCCGCCCGCCTCCCGTCTCCTTCAGCTGGAACATGGAGGCGAGGAGCGGGCGGGAGGCTCTGCCTGCGGCCTAGTCGCCACCGGAGCATCCCGCCCGCCTCCCGTCTCCTTCTGCAGCTTGAAGATGGAGGCGAGGGGCGGGCGGGAGGCTCCGGTGGCGCTAGGCCGCAGGCAGAGCCATCCCCCCGCTCCTCGCCTCCATCTTCCAGCTGAAGGAGACGGGAGGCGGGCGGGAGGCTCTGCCTGCGGCCTAGCGCCACCGGAGCCTCCCGCCCGCCCTTCACCTCCATCTTCAAGCTGCAGAAGGAGGCGGGAGGCGGGCGGGAGGCTCCGGTGGCGCTAGGCCGCAGGCAGAGCCTCCCGCCCGCCTCCCGTCTCCTTCAGCTGGAAGATGGAGGCGAGGAGCGGGCGGATGGCTCTGCCTGTCAGTTATGGCCAGTCAGTTATATTACATTTCTTACAGAGCAAAGCAAATAAACAGAAAATACAAAATGTGTGAGTTTGGTAGTTTATTAAATGTCCTTTGAACATCATCTGGCCCCTTGATGTTGCCGCAAGAAGGCTCTCCATGGTGCATGTGGCAGGGCTCAGGTTGCATTGCACCAGGTGGTCAGTGGTTTGCTCTTCTCCACACTCACATGTCGAGGATTCCACTTTGTAGCCCCATTTCTGAAGGTTGGCTCTGCATCTTGTGGTGCCAGAGCGCAGTCTGTTCAGCGCCTTCCAAGTCGCCCAGTCCTCTGTGTGCCCAGGGAGTTTCTCATTTGGTATCAGCCATTGGTTGAGGTTCTGGGTTTGAGCCTGCCACTTTTGGACTCTCACTTGCTGAGGTGTTCCAACTAGGCCACAGGCAGAGCCACCCCCCTGCACCTCGCCTTAACAGTTACAAAGTAGCAACATATATAATTTTATGGTTGGGGGTCACCACAACATGAGGAACTGTATTAAGGGGTCACGGCATTAGAAAGGTTGAGAACCACTGCTCTAGGGCTTTATCATGTCAGAAGCAAATTGAGGGTACATTTATAATTATTTAAAAACACAAACAAAGTTAAAAACTTGGCATTATACTAAATGTCCTTTGACCTGAAGCTGGCCACTTCAAGGGCCTCTGGTGTCGCTGTAAGAAGGTCCTCCATTGTTTATGTAACGGGACTCAAACTGCATTGTAGTAAGTGGCCTGTGGTTTGCTCTTCTCCACACTTGAATGTCATGGACTCTACTTTGTAGCCCCATCTCTGAAGATTGGCTCTGTATCTCGTGGTACCAGAGCACAGTCTGTTCAGTGCCTTCCAAGTTGCCCAGTCTTCTGTGTGTCCAGGGGGAAGTCTTTCATTCGATATCAGCCATGGATTGAGGTTCTGGGTTTTAGGCTGCCACTTTTGGACTCACACTTGCTGAGGTGTTCCTGCGAGCATATCTGTAGATCTTAGAAAGCCATTTCTTGATTTAGAGGCCTGGGAGAGCTTTGCTCTGCCCTGCTGCAGAAGAGACCCTGGGGCCTGAGCATTCATCAGCATTGATGAAAATCTCTGTCTCTTCTGGCAGTGGCTGATCATTTGTGTCAGTGTTAAACATTGCTGGAGCAAACATTAAACATTTACTGTATTAAGATATATTTTATTTTTCTAGACTTAGCTATTGTGTTATTATTGTTTCCCATACTCGATTTATATAAGTTTTAGTTGTGCTGACTCATTGGGTCAATTGTGACTGGATCTACACCACCATATAATCCAGTATATGATCCCAAATTATCTGCTTTGAGCTGGTTATAAAGCAGATAATCTGGGATCAGAAACCGGATGATATGGCAGTGTAGATCCAGCCAAAGATTGGAGAAATGAATAAAAATATAAAGAGTAGTAGCACAACAGCTCATCAAAAGAGAACAACAACAATACAGGATTCTGAGTAACAGCGGAGTTTGTAAAAGGAAAGAATTATTTACAATGTAAGCAAGTAACCAGTGGGTTACAAACTAGGGCTGGGCGGTTTCGTTTCGTAATTTCGTAATTCGTTAAAAATTCATTATTTTTTTGATAACGAAGCGATATTGAATCATCCAGGAGCAACTAAAAAACGAAACTAATTTTTCCAATTCGTTTCGTAATTGTTTCGTTGTTGATTCGTTATTGATTCGTTATTGATTCGTAAATGTTTCGTTATTATTTCCGCATGTCTGGTGCAAGTTTTAGGGTTGCTGTTTGTTTTCTCAGTGAAAAAAAATATAATTATCACACCAACAGTCAACAACAGAGGGAGAGGGAAGCTTCAGAAGTTTTTTTAGCGTATTGCGCGATCGCGGCTGCCATTAACGAATGGATTCGTAATTGATTTGTAATTGTTTCGTAATTGTTTTATGATTTCTGAAATTTTGTAAATATCGAACTTTTTTTAAGGAAAATTTCGGAATTCTTTCAAATAACGAAACGCAAAAAACCCCTAAAAACGAATCGAGTTTAGAAACAAATTTTTCCTTGTTTGGACAGCCCTACAAACTAAAGCTTGAACTTTTTAAAAAAATCAATTGTATCAAAAGACTTACTACTGTTGTGCTGTTACCCTCAAGAAAGCCCAGTGTCCAGCCCTGCAATGGCAATGGATACATTCCATGTCTTCTCTCAAGCCCCTTACATGTCTTATCAGTAAAATCTGAGAAGTTGTTGGATTGTTCACTACTTCCTCTGTGCTGCAGGCACTTACAAGGGAAGAACACACATTTGGTCATGAAAATATACAATTGATCTAAAAATTTCATAAGCTGTCTTGGTTCAAGCATTCATTTACCTGCTTTTCTGCAGCTTGCAGCGGTGGGGCTTCAGATTGACCTGTGGCTTACAGGTAACAAGTTAACCACTCCTGCTGTATGTGATAGCGTGCAATCAAATTGCTTCCAGCAGTTTTAAATTGATACCTGATGGCTGAACAAATATGCTGATGAATGCAATAGTCGCTTGTTGAAACTAGCAGTTTTAATGCCTTCCTGTATTGCTTTCGATTGTGGCATTATAAAATAGCTGCATGCACCAAAATGAGTAAGAAGAGCTTGCTTAGGCCTTTGACCTGATTTCCTCCTCCTCCCTTGAGTCAACTGTTCAGTTTTCCAAAAATCCCTCTTCAGTCAACAAAACCCTGATTCATTTGTGCACATAATCTAACTCAGTTCCTCTTTCTGAGAGTCCGTCTCTGTAACTTTAATCTCCGAGTTGAGCAGGTTGGGATCACTTCTTGGGCTGTACGAAAGGCACCCAGGTTTATTCATCTACTGGTAAGTAAAGGAGAAGAGAGATGTGCTTGGTATTTTGGGGATACAGATAAAGTTGTTTGCATTCTCTGGATCTCTTCACTACTTTTTACTAAAAAATATCACGGAACTTGGTGGGCCTGCTGTCTCAATTTCTGAAACCTTTGAAACTCTTGGTTTCTTAGGGCAGTATCTCAGCAGAGCCAAAATGTTGAGTTAATAGGCAACTAAAATATCTTGAAAGACCTTTTAATTCTTCATCATGGCGATACTGAAACTGACTTCATAATCAGTACTGTCTTCCTTTTTGTATAGATACTTAGGGAGTTGTTTAGACAATTACTCAAGTGTTGTTGGACAGAACCTTTTAGATTAATCAATTTCATAATTCTTAAATCCAATATTTATTTATTTATTTATTTATTTATCATGCCAGAAGTGAATTGAGGGTACAGTTATAATGTATTTAAAAACACAAAGTTTAAAACTTGGCATTATGCTAAATGTCCTTTGACCAAAAGCTGGACACTTGGGAGTGCCTCTGGTGTTGCTGTAAGAAGATCCTCCATTGTGCATGTGGTGGGGCTCAGGCTGCATTGTAGTAAGTGGTTTGTGGTTTGCTCTCCTCTGCACTCGCATGTTGTGGACTCTACTTTGTAGCCCCATTTCTTGAGGTTAGCTCTGCATCTCATGGCCAGTCTGTTCAGTGCCTTCCAAGTTGCCCAGTCTTCTGTGTGCTCAGGAGGAATTTCTCATCTGGTATCAGTCACTGATTGACATTCCAGGTTTTAGCTTGCCACTTTTGGACTCTCGCTTTCTGAGGTGTTTCTGCGAGTATCTCTGTAGATCTTAGGAAGCTATTTCTTAATTTAAATCATTGGCTTGCTGGCAGATATCCGAACAGAGGACGGGCTGGAGATGCCAGTGCTTTGGTTCTTTAATTACTGGGTACTACTTCCCGGAGGATGTCAGGTGGTGCAATACTGGCTAAACAGTATAATTTCTCCAGTGGTGTAGGGCGTAGGCATTCTGTGATAATGCAGCATGCAGGCATGCCGCCGGGGGGGGGGGGGGGCTCGGGGGGCTTCATCCCCCCCCCCCGAAATTCTCATGGTGGTTCGCGAAAAGGCCTTACTGGTGCATTATTTAAACTGTTATGTTTATTCATATCATGATCTGATCACCATACTCAATATATCCCATATGCATGGGGGTATTGGGGTACAAAAGGTTTGCTAGGGTAGACCCTCTTTAGCTCAGACTCAGCCCCCCCCCCCCCGATCAAAATCCTGGCTATGGGCCTAGCAGGTACATGCCTGCCTCCACCACACTCCGGGGCAGAGAGTTCCACTGCTGAACTGCTCTCACAGTCAGGAAGTTCTTCCTCATGTTCAGATGGAATCCCCTTTCTTGTAGTTTGAAGCCATTGTTTCACGTCCTAGTCTCCAGGGAAGCAGAAAACAAGCTTGCTCCCTCCTCCCTGTGGCTTCCTCTCACATATTTATACATGGCTATCATATCTCCTCTCAGCCTTCTCTTCTTCAGGCTAAACATGCCCAGCTTAAGCGCTCCTCATAGGGCTTGTTCTCCAGACCCTTGATCATTTTAGTCACCCTCCTCTGGACACATTCCAGCTTGTCAATATCTCTCTCCAATTGTGGTGCCCAGAATTGGACACAATATTCCAGGTGTGGTCTAACCAAGGCAGAATAGAGAGATAGCATGACTTCCCTGGATCTAGACACTATGCTCCTATTGATGCAGGCCAAAATCCCATTGGCTTTTTTTGCCACCGCATCACATTTTTGGCTCATGTTTAACTTGTTGTCCACCAGGATCCCAAGATATTTTTCACACGTACTGCTCTCGAGCCAGGCCTCCCCCATTCTGTATCTTTGCATTTCATTTTTTCTGCCTAAGTGGAGTATCTTGCATTTGTCACTGTTGAACTTCATTTTGTTAGTTTTGGCCCCTCTCTCTAATCTGTCAAGATCATTTTGAATTCTGCTCCTGTCTTCTGGAATATTGGGTATCCCTCCCAATTTGGTGTCGTCTGCAAACTTGATGATCATGCCTTCTAACCCTTCATCTAAGTCATTAATAACCATGTTGAACAGGACCGGGCCCAGGACGGAACCCTGCGGCACTCTGCGGCACTCTGTTCGTCACTTCTTTCCAGGATGAAGAGGAAGCATTGATGAGCATCCTCTGGTGAGCACCACTGTGTCTGGTTGTGATCCCCAGGCTGTGCCAGTCAGCTTTTGTATGATATTATTTGTAGCACTCACTTTTTGCTTGATATTCAAGCAGTGCTTCTTGCAAGTCAGAGCACAGTCCAGGGTAACTCCCAGTTATTTGGATGTGCTGCAATGCTCCAGTGGGATTACTTCCCAGGTAATCCTCTGAGCTTGAGATACTTGTCTGTTTTTAAGATGAAAAGCACACTCTGCATTTTAGATGGATTAGGAATCAACTGGTTTTCTCTGTAAATAGGCAGGAAGAATACCTAAAGTTTCGGAGAGCTTCTGTTCAACCATTTCAAAGTTCACTGCTTGAGCGGTGATGGCATGATCATTAGCATTGATGAAAATCTCTGTCCCATCTGGCAGAGGCTGGTCATTTGTGTAAATGTTAAACATTGATGGAGCAAGCACACTCCCCTGAGGCAGGTTGTTCTTCTGTCTTCGCCATCTGCTTATATGACCCTGGAACCTAACAAAAAAGCTCTTGTATTGTAGCAGATTTCTTAAGAAGCGGGTGAGGTGGTAGTCCTTTGTGATATTAGAAATTTCTCTTAGAAGAAGGTGATGATTTAAAGTATCATATGCTGCTGACAGGTCTATGAAGGCAGCTTCATTCAATATATAGGGAGGGAGGGATAGTTGCAGACAGTATGTGGACCCCATTGTGGACCTGAACAGCACTAAACTGCAACTGGAAGTTATTTCAGGAATTTCAGTTTTTCTTTGTGTGAGCACAAATAACTTATATCTTGCAAAGCAACAATCCACTTGGGCAGAAACAGTTCAATTAGAAGCCATCGTGAAACTATTCCCTCTTTTTCAGTATTTTGTCTGTCTGTCTGTTTGTTTTTGTTAAAATGTAATACAAATGTCTGGTTGCTGATGACACGATAAATAAAAATAGTATTATTTTTATTAATATTATTAAGCATGATGAGGAAAAAATGATGAAAGATGTGGTGGGGGAACATGGGAAATTATTATTTATTATTTATTTATTACTGTGCTTATATACCGCCGTTTCTCAGCCTAAATCGGCGACTCAACGCGGTTTACAACACAACGACAAGCAGCAATATTCCATTAAAAAGCATAAAAACACATACACAATACACAATATTATTGGGCCACCAATAATAATCCAATGCATCTCTTAATTGTAGTCGCAATCCAATTTCGTCGTCTGTGATTAACCAATCCTTGTTCATCAGTTTCGTTGCACCAGATTAATCGAATGCTTGTTTAAACATCCATGTCTTCAACCTTTTTCGAAATACCATCAGCGAAGGGGCTGATCTCACCTCTATGGGGAGGGCATTCCAAAGCCGAGGGGCCACCACAGAAAAGGCCCTGTCTCTCGTTCCCGCCAGCCGCACCTGTGAAGCAGGCGGGATAGAGAGCAGGGCCTCCCCAGAAGATCTTAGGGTCCTGGTGGGCTGATAGGCCGAGATACGTTCGGATAGATAAGTTGGGCCAGAACCGTTTAGGGCTTTAAAGGCCAGCGCCAGCACTTTGAATTGGGCCCGGTAGCAAATCGGCAGCCAGTGGAGCTGGTACAGCAGAGGAGTTGTATGCTCCCTGCGCCCCGCTCCGGTTAGTATCATGGCTGCCGCCCGTTGGACTAATTGGAGCTTCCGAGCCGTCTTCAAAGGCAACCCCACGTAGAGAGCGTTACAGTAGTCAAGACGGGATGTAACCAGAGCGTGGACTACCGTGGCCAAGTCAGACTTCCCAAGGTACGGTCGCAGTTGGCGCACAAGTTTTAACTGTGCGAATGCTCCCCTGGTCACCGCCGAAACCTGGGGTTCCAGGCTCAGCGATGAGTCCAGGATCACACCCAAACTGCGAACCTGCGTCTTCAGGGGGAGTGCGACCCCGTCTAACACAGGCTGTAACCCTATACCCTGTTCGGCCTTGCGACCAACCAGGAGTACCTCTGTCTTGTCTGGATTCAATTTCAATTTGTTCGCCCCCATCCAGACCGTCACAGCGGCCAAGCACCGGTTCAGGACCTCGACAGCCTCCTTAGTAGCAGGTGGAAAGGAGTGACAGAGTTGGACATCATCTGCGTACAGATGACATCGCACCCCGAAACTCCGGATGATCTCCCCCAGCGGCTTCATGTAGATGTTAAACAACATGGGAGACAGTATTGAACCCTGAGGAACCCCACAAGACAAAGGTTGTGGGGTTGAACAGGAGTCTCCCAGTAACACCTTCTGAGACCGACCCTCGAGGAATGAGCGGAGCCACTGTAGAACAGTACCTCCAAGACCCATCCCCGCGAGGCGTCCCAGAAGGATACCGTGGTCGACGGTATCGAAGGCCGCTGAGAGGTCAAGCAGCACCAATAGGGACACACTCCCCCTGTCGAGCTCCCGACGCAGATCATCCACTAAGGCGACCAAGGCTGTCTCGGTACCATGCCCCGGCCTAAAGCCAGACTGTGCCGGGTCCAGATAATCCGTGTCTACCAAGAATGCCTGGAGTTGTGAGGCCACCACACGTTCCATGACTTTGCCCAAAAAGGGGAGATTGGAAACAGGCCGATAATTGACGAATTGAGTGGGGTCCAGTGATGGTTTCTTCAACAGCGGTTTTATCACAGCTTGCTTTAAGCTGGCTGGAATTTTGCCTTCCCGAAGGGAGGCATTAACCACCACCTTCACCCACTCGGCCAATCCCCCTCTGGCCTCCTTCAGAAGCCAGGATGGGCAGGGGTCTAGGATGCATGTGGTAGCTCTCATTCCTCCAAGCACCTTGTCCACATCCTCGGATTGA